GTTAATGCAACGCACCATCAAATGGATAGGTTATCCGTTTTCTACTTGACACTGCCTCGCGTCCACACTCTTCCTCTTTGTTATCTTCCTTCTCTTCCTCTTCTTCAGCCTGCCTTTTGACGTCCGTTGTCGTGTTGACCGCTCCTGCTGTGGTTGACATGCTGGGTAGCTCAACCAAGGATTCCATCCCGCTAATTATGTTCATTTGAAATGGGGGCCAAATGTCCGCCTTGGTAGTAAAAATAACTGGCGTTTTGAGAGTTTCCTCGCTGCCCCGTAGTTCCTTTCGAACCGACATTTTGGGTAGAATTCCCTCTGTGTAAAGAAGAAACACACGGAGGTATTTAGGCGGTTGTATGTCCTCGATCAAAAATAACCGCTAAGATGTTTTTGCGATAAGGGGGGGGGGGTAAGAAAACAACAATTTCGATAATCCTGTTACAAATGGCTTGCCTTCACCAATGGTAGGTAAAACCGGGGAACGTCGTTTAAAGTTAATTCAAGGAGAGCAGTATACTAGCTTTTCGTTGAGGATATCTTCGGGTACACATGTAACTCACGCTCTAGAGTTAAATTCCCTGCTTAATTAGTAAGCATTTTAATAGTTTTTCAATCCTCGTAAAAACCAAAGCATATGTTGTTGTTCAGGTTTCTATGAAATGAAGTCCCTCAGTAATATAAATAGTACGAAGAATAGTTAAAAATCCGCATGATTTGCAAACAGGATCACTAAAACTAAGGGTATCATGCTTTATGCATTCCTGAGTACAGTGGATTTTCGGTTAACGAGGTTAATCCGTTCCAGCGCTGAGCTCATCATGTGAAACGCTCGTCTTGTAAATGGTAGCCAATCGAACTGCTTCCCTTCACTGATTGGCTACAAGTGACCGAGGTCCCACGCTCTGGGAGCAACACTCAACGGCGGACACAGGCACACACGCGCACTGACAATTCGTTAACCGAGCGTAAGGTCGTAAAGCGAAACAAAGTGTCTGCTTGTGGCTCGCTCCTTATCTGAAATGCTCGTAGATGGAGCTGCGCATCACCCGAGGCTCCAATATACACACTTTACAGGCAGAAACTAGCTTAGAGGAATGAAATGCAATAATTAAGTAAAAAATGGAACGCTATGCTGAGAGTTTGGGCGTTTCGTACCATTAAACTTCAAGCATAATTTAATACGACGTTGGACGCAAAGAGCGAAAGGGGATCTGCTCGACCGATAACATCGAAGAAGAGTCTAAGATTGTACAGTATGGCTAAGAATTTGTGCAAAGGTCATGAAGAAATTGAACTTGGTAGTTAATCATATATTTGTTCACGTTACTTTGATGCAATAAGTGGATTCCATCCTGAGGAAGCCTTTTAGTGAGGAAAACTGTTTTCATAGTACAGCTTATTGACGGTAATAGACATTGACGTTGGCTTAATCGGAAGTAGTCCGATATCAAAGAAATTGCCTATGCTATTAAGTACCACAGAACCAAACCTTTTATTCCTATGCATTGTGCTATGGGGAATGCCAAAATAAGTAAGAATAATTTAAAATATATCCCTTGCAGAACCGAAAAATGTAGTCCGAAGTTGTTCAAGTACAATGAGGCCAAGTTTAAGGAATTGCATTGGTTTTCAGAAACAAGGAACAATTTCGGCTTCAAAAATCATTTTTGGCTAATGAGTGAAGTTTTTGCCAAAAAAATACAGTAACAAAAAGGTTCTGGCCATACTTTGTTTCCCCGCATCAACTATTTGGAACGCAGCCAAAAATGCCCATATGTTATCGCAAAGAAGAAGGTAAAACCAAATATTATTAAATCCAAATTATGCAGAAATATACATATTTTGTATACTATAACTTCTGCTTATGCATAATTTAGAAACGGATGAGATAGAAGATAAAGAATTATATCCAAAATCTCAATATATCTTCGGCCACTCATTTTCATATTCGCAAGCTTAGAACAGGGCCTGGAAGTAAGTCACTATACAAGGAAAATACTCCGATAAAAAGACAAAAGTGAGTTCTTTAATGTCCAGCCAAACTGTATCATTTATCTTTAAATTTTAAAAAAACTGTCAAAAACCACCATTCCTCTTTTGGCATTACCTTGTAAAAAGGTATCATGCGCAGATATTCGTCAGCGGAATATCTAATAAAAGTGCTTTTTATAGAATCAACCTATTATGTAAAACATTATATCAATCTCCGGAATAAAAGTATCAACCTTCTGTTACAGACGTACTTACTGCTCGACAATAAGTTATGATAATTCTGCAATTTATAAATGTTTCACATGACCATCTTAAAAAGGACTAATATCCTACAACGCATTCTTTCGGTAAATGCTTTTCATATGAACATCGAACAGAAGTTAAGGTTATGAAATAAAATTTGAAAACGCAAAAAGTCGTCGAAATTTTGTCGGAATTTAAAGGTCAACCTTTAAGTAATTGTGATAAATAAAGATAATATGTTTAAAATATTTTGACTACGAAAAATTTCTTTTGATATCAAGAAAATTTATCAAAAGCAAACGTATGCACGTCAATGTATCTTTTGAAATTACGAGATTTTTTAAGATTGTCAATACAAGCGAACATGCGTGTCCCAGGAAGCAATTGAGAAGAAGAAGACTCGATCGCTGGAACAATAAGTTTATTCGCCTGACGAAGTAGCGGTCAAAGCAACTATGTCGGAGAAACTGGCAGACTTCTCAAGACGCGAATTGTCGGAACACGCAGCAGTAGTGCGGCGAAGTGATGCCAATTCTCAAGTTGCGGCTCATTCGACGAGACCC